CCTGCAACCCCCCGCAAGCTCAGCGGGGCCCAGCAAGGACGAGGGCAGGACCTGGCAGGGAGCAGGGGCAGCCAGTCTGGGACCCGAGGGAATCCCCAGGGAGGCGGTGGTGTGCACACAATGCCACGTGCCCCATCTCGCGTCCTGCCGCTGGGCATCCTCCCTGTTGTGTCCCTGTCTGCGCACGCCACCCCAGCTCTCACCCCGTCCGGCTCCCCGCTGCCTTCCCTGGACGGCAGCCGCCCCCTCGGGCTGGGCCTCCTCTCCACAAACACCACCTCGCAGCATGCCTGGTCCTCGTTGTGCTGGCTCTTCCCCGCATTTATCACCCTGCCAGGAGGAAACAAGGTGTAAAGGCTCACTCTTTCACATCACGCTCTGGCAGAGGCCACCCCACAGCACCTCATGCCCCCCGACCTCCATTCGTGCCCCCACATCCCTGGGGATGCTCTCCGCAGTGCTCCTGCCCTGGCTGGGGCGGCAGCAGCCAGCCGAGGAGACGTCTCGGACCAGTTGCAGGGGTTGATCTGGAGCCAGCGGCAGTAGTCGCGCCCACCAGCACAGCTGGGTTCAGGGGAGGGCGGCCATCCAGGCCCCCACCGAGGGACGTGACCAGAAAAAGCTTGGGGTTTCACTGCAGGTCTCCAGCACTGCCCCAAGCCCAGCAATTGCCTGAAAACCTGCACCAGCCTCAACACACACCCCCAGCCCGGACCCACGGACACAGCAAAGGGGTTACAGCCTCATCCGTGTCCCATCACACCCGGCACCCCTCAGAGGGAGCAGGTGCCTCAGAGAAGGGGGAGAGAAGGTGACATTAGCAGAACTTTTACAAAAAGATTCACACTAATTTTCCACAGCCTACGCTGGCAAAGCAGATTTCAGGTCTAGACTGCAAAAGCTGCTCATGGGAGGAAGCTGTAAACATGCATAACAGGATGAGCTCTTCGGGCACAGACTTCTCAAGTGGTTTGCAGAAAGAAGTCTTGGGAGACGGAAGAGAAGTCTTGCTGCTGAGCAGAGGGTGGGTTTTGCTCTGGGGCAAATTATCTCCCGGGGCAAATTAATATCTCAAAAAGCTCCCTAGGGCATCAGGAAGGTCAGCTTGAGCAAGGGATGCAGGACCAGACTGACAGCACTGAGCAGCAAAGGTGGCCTTCAAAGCCTGACCTTCCCACCTGCCTTCAGTTAAGGGTGAAACTCGCAGCGAGTAAAAGGAGAAGAGAATCAGGCCCCTGAAGGGGAAGTCGAAATCAGGTCCCGTTCCCAAGACAGCTTCAATTCCCTCCTCCCCCCGAGTCCTGCGAGAGCCGCAGCAGTTCCTTCACCCCCCGGTGTCAGTTCCCCATCAGTGCCTCCGGGTGCTGTGCACATCAGCGCAGAAAACAGCGAGGCCGGAGGAGGCTGAAGGCGCCGGGGATGGGGCGGAGCGCGGCGCTCCCTCCGCGGGCGTTCAGAGCGCGAACTGCCCCCGCTCCTCCC